TGAGCAGCACCTAGTGGTGACTGGTACCTTTTCATCTCATTTGCTGTTTGCACTGCATGTAAGCATATCCACTTTGTAATTTTCAAATTTTGGAATGTGAAAAAAAGTGATTTTCTTAAAACTCAATTTCTTGTACAGGTTTCCCACGGTATATGTGGGGGATGGGTTCCAGGACCCCCATACATACCAAAATCTGTGCATGCTCAAGTCCTGAAGTTGGCTCTGCAGCACCCATACGTAGGAAGAGTCGGCTCTCCCTATACTCAGATTTCACATCCTGCAGATACTGTATTTTCAATCTGTGTTTTGTTGAAAAAAAAATCCTCGTGTAAGGAGACCATGCATTTCAAATCCATGTTGTTCAAGGGTCAAATTGTATGCTGGTTAAATTAATAGTAGGCCATCTTTTATAGGTATTCACAGGTGCTTTTGTGTTTTAAAAGCAAATTGCAAAGATTTGTTTCATGGGAAGTTGATCAATTTTCTTACCCATTGATTACCTTTACTATTTAAAATTCTATGTACCCCCATCTGCCTTTCACTTAATCCTTTTCATTGAGTAGTGTACACAGCGCTTCAATTATATAATTTCATTTAATTTAACAACCCTGGGATGATGATAGGAACTGTGGTTCATCCAGGGTCATAGATCTCATTAAGTAGTGGAACCAGGACACTAACTTTGGTGTGTCTGACTTCATGGCCTGTAAAATATATTGTTTTGTGTCTCCTCCAGTTATTTCCTGGTCAGCTCTTGGGAATCTGCACTTGGCTAAGAAAGGAACAGATGGACATCTGTAGTGTGCAGTGCTGAGTTGTCTGTCGTTTGGATGTGCTCGGACCACCAGGGGGAGTGCTGAGAACTGATTTTTTTTTTTTTCAACCACATGTTAGGTGGCTGCCTTTAGGTACAGCCTGGTTTGTTACAGGGCTCCACAAACTGAGGTCTTAGACCTTGATTTTGTTTTGTTTTGTTTTTTACAGCCTTCAGGCTAAGAATGGTTTTTACCTTTTTAAATGGTTGGGAAGAATAAGGATGTGGGAAGGAAGGCAACAAGAAACCTATGTGACTCTTACCCAAAATGATTCAAGAGTGAGCACTCTGCGTAAACCCCTTTGAGACTGCGTTTAGACTTTGCATGGTTAACTGGAATTGGAATTCTCTTTTGTTTGGACTTGTTAGCTCCTTTAAGAACTGGGAGGCATATAAACTCCTTTTTACCCTATCCACTTTAAGAAAGTATGAGGTAGGATACATACAGCAGAACAATTTAAATAAATTAATGAACAAGAGGCAGGATTGAATGGAGAGCTGGGGATACAGCAAGGGTAGGCTAGAAGGGGGAATTAATTGTGCCAGAGCTCATGTAGTTGTTCGTTTATTCATCTTCATTGCTCAGTTTATTGTATTTTCATTGTATGACCGTATCTCACCATTCTGCTAAGTGTCATTCGAGTTGTTCCCAGTTTGGGGCTGTTATGCATAAGGCTGCCAGAAATATTCATGTACATGTATTTTGTGCACACATGAATGGATTTCTGTTGGTCTATATCTAGGAGTGGAATTACTGGGTCATAAGAATATATGGAAATAGATAATATCTTTATTAGGTACTGCCAGTTTTCCCAAGTGGTTATGTCAATATAAACTCCCACCAACAGCTTAGAAGACTTCTATTTGCTCCATATCCTGTCAACATTTGGTTTTATCAGTATTTTTAATTTTAGCTGTTCTGGTAGATGTGTAGTGGTATCTCATGCTTTTAATTTGCACTTCTCTGGATACTAACAATGTTGAGCATCTCTTTATATACTTACTGGCCTATGGCTATTGTCTTTTGTGAAATACCTATTTAAGTCTTTCACCCACTTTTTGTTGAGTTTATTGTCTTTAACGTATTGGTTTGTAGGAGTTCTTTACATCTTCTAATTATGAAACCTTTATTTATCTGCATTGCATGTATCTTCCACTCTGGCGTCATACTCTTGGTGTCTTTTGATGAAAATAAGTTTTTAATATTAATGTAGTCCAATTTACTCGTCTTCTCCTTCATGGTTAGTGCTTACCATGTCCTCCTGAAGAAGTGATTACCCAGGGTCATGAAAATATTCTCCTGTATGGTCTTATAGAAGTTTTGCCTTTTACATTTAGCTGATTGACCCAGGACTGTTCACTGAAAACATTGTCAGCTGTGCGCTGCTCTCTTTATCATAAATCAAGTATCTACAAAAGATCTGTTTCTGACTTCTTTTGGCTGTTCCATTAGCCTATTTCTCTACTTGTACCAACATGAGACTATCTAACTTAGTGTAGCTTTATAATAAGTCTTCATTTCCAGTACAATAAATCCCCAGGTTTGTACTTCTTCAAGATTGTCTTGGCTATTCTGATCCTTTGCATTTCCACATACATTTTAGGATATCTGTCAGTTTCACATATGCGCACACAAAAATCCAGGGATTTTGATTAGGTTTACGATGACTATAGACAATTTGGGGAGAATTGACTTGTGCTGGTGGACACCTGCAGGGTATAACTTATTTATTTAGGTTTTCTTTCTTTTTTTAATAGCAAATTTACAGGAACAGCACAGAAGACAGACAACATTAAAAACATGTACTTGCCGGTAGTAGAGCTCAGAAAAGTACAGTGAATAGGTTGAATCTACTGTATGAAAAAAGTGCTATAAACATCATTGAGTTGCCCTCAGAAATTTGTTTTAAGGAAATCCAAATGATGGCATTGTGCAGAAAAATTTGGCAGGTTTATTTGTAATTGTTGCAAAGTTGAACTGCTAAAACTTGTTCACTGAAACATTTGACTTGCATTAATGCTTTTTGTCCCCATATTTATATTAAAAATTCACATGAAAATGAAGATGGAAAAACTGCCAATACTTGATTTCTGTCCCGTTTCTCCACTCGCAATCATATACTTAGCTACCTTTTGACCTCATGGAAAAAAGAATAATGTTGAGCACTACTCGTAACAGGAAGGAGAGAATTTTTTGAGCATGAAATGTTTCCCATCATAGCAGATTCTTTTTTTAGTTTCTACACACAGCACTGACGTAGTGGATTCTTTTTTTTTTTC